TAGTATATGAGAGTATTAATATTAGATTGGCGTATTGGGAAAGTATTATTAGTATATTAGAAAGTTTCTTGGCTTGGAAAGACTGACATTCTTTTCGTTTTGGGGGATTCTTTTTTCTCTGTTTTATCTTGGGTGGTTTCTATTGTCTTCAAGTTCACTAGTATTCAGCTTTATGCAATCTGCCATTAATCTTATCTAGTTTATTTTTCATCTCAAATGTTTTTATTTAGTTAATTTGGGTATAAAATTATATGCATGTCTTTTTTTTTTTTTTTTAACTTCTTGAACACATGGAATACAGTTAAAGTAACTTGATGTACTTCCGTGCTCATTCTAACCTCTCTTTCAATTCTGGGTCAGTTTTAATCAGTTGATTATTTTCCTTATCCTAGGTTGTTTTCCTGCTTCTTTCTATGCTGACCAATCTTGGGATAGGTGATACTGTGAATTTGACCTTCTTAACTTCTGGATATTTTTGTATTCCTGTAAATTCTTAAGCTTTATTCTGGGATGCAATTAAATTAAAGTTTGAGCATTTTAAGTCTTGTTTTTATGATTTCTTGATAGATCTGTCTGGGGCTAATTACTATTTTTATGAGGCAAAATTTTTCTGAGTATTCTGCCCAATGAATGCCCTGCAAATTATGAGGACTTTTTTTTTTTTAAGTTCAGCTCTTGGGAACAGATGCTATTCTCAGTCTTATGTGAGCATCTGGTACTGTTCTCTTAAATTCTTTCACATAGTTCTTTCACTTGTCTTAGGAAGTTTCCTTATGATCATAAAGAAGGGAGCTTTCCCCAGTACCTGGAATTCTCTCAGTGTGTGTATCTTTCTTTCGTGCTTTGAATTCTAATTATCTTGGTTTCCCTGGACTGTCAGCTGATAATCTCAGTTTATGGATTCCATTGGCTCTGGCTGACCTGATTCCGTTTCTTCCTTACCGTGGCCTGGAAACTCTTAAGTCAGGAAGCTGGAATAGTCCGAACACACCTTTTGTGTGCCATCTGTTAGGAATTCTGTACCTCATGTCCATACTTGCTTGAAACAAACAAAAAACCCACAAAAACTCCCTAAGTTTCCAAGGCATTGTACATCAGATGTTGATAAGAGGTTCTCTGAAACAAATGAGACTGAAAATTGGCTTTAATCAAAGAAATTTCCTCCCCATTTTTTACTTTTTTGCATTTAGAGAAGAAATTTACTATCAATTGATGATTGAAAAATACTTGATTGTGTTTCTCCGATCTGGATATATTAATGTTTTTACAAAGAAAATTAGATTAAAATATCCTAAATCAGAAACATAAAGAATATTCGATGGGCATAAATGGTAATATGCAAAGGACAGAAGCAAATACCATATGTTCAGTAAGTAACTTAAAAATGGTACAGATGAACTTTGAACTGACATGAATGAAAATCTGAACATGTGGAGTCCTTGTGAATTGTAAACTGCTTATAAAAAATTTGTTTTGATACCTGAATATATTTTTGAGGGTTTGATATGCAAAGTTAGTAATTCTATATATATGACATTAGATTTTTTTTATTCTTTAATTTGTATATAGTCTTTAGTTTATATTCTTTAATTTGAGTCTTACTGATTTGAAAAATTAATTTGACATAATTGAAATACTTTATCTTTGTGTATTTATGAAGCAGTGATTTACGGAGCAGATTATTCACATAAATGTTACTGATTAATTTGCTTACTAAAATAAACTGTTTCAAATACTGTGAGCTGCCTCTGCATTAACATTTATTTTTTTATTAAGGATTTTATTTCATCTAAACAATTTTATGTGGTTTATAGGCCTGCGTAAAATGTGGAATAGAATGATTAGTGATAAAACAGACAACTGACTAAAGGAAGCGTTACCAGGTTCTAGAAATAAGATGATTAAAGCTCTCAGGCATTGACTTTGGTTCTTAGATTTCCTGACAGCTAAAGTGAAAAGAGAAGCATGTTGGTTTAAGTTTTCAGTGTCTTAAAAAAGAAAGCATACTTTATTTATGTCTGTATAATCCAAATGATTTTTTTTTTTTTTTGTATTTCTGTGAATAGCAGCATCATCCTTCAAGTTACTAAAACACGAAACTTTGATTTTTGACAGTGTGGTAGAAAAAGATAAATAGATGTAAAGGTAGCCCATAGACACCTCAAAGTCTAACTGTCCCCACCTACATAAATGTATTTTTGTCTACAACAGAGTCTTCTTTAATTCTTGTTATCCCTCTCTGGCACTTTACATTTCAGCAGTATTGAATCAGAAATCACTTTCTGTGATTCTTGTACCTTTGTTAATGATATTTGTTGTATCATACCTTCCTGTCACTCTTACACCGGAAAGCTTCTGCTCTTCTTTTACGGTTCATAGGTTTGGTGAAGGCTTCCCCATCAGATGGGCATAGGAACTTTTCCTACACTGTGCTGTTTACTTCTAGTAATTTGGTTATTTTATTACAATGTACTCATTTTATGACTTTATTAACCTTCCTGAGGGCAGAGGTGTGTCTCTTTGTCTTCCTGTCCCTAGACTTAGCATAGTGCCTGGCATAAAATAGGTGTTCAGTAAATATTCTGTAGTTCAAGAATGAATGTGTTAGGTATGTGAACAAAGTTGCTTTTTTGTGAACAATTTTCTTTCAATTGACGGTGGTAGAAAAAATATTTAAAGGCAGTATCCTGATTAGAAAGAGACTTTGGTTTTTCCCCATTGATGGAGAAAAATTGAGAGTTTTCCCCCTCATTTCAGAAACATGACAGAGATGTTCACTCTCAACACAGTTGTTCAACATAGTACTGGAAGTCTTAGCCTCAGCAATTAGACAACAAAGAGAAATAAAAGACATACAGATTGGAAAGGGAGAAGTCAGACTTCCACTCTTTGCAGATGACATGATACGTGTTTCTACATGGACAACCTGAAAGACTCCACCAAAAAGCTGCTAGAACTGGTATGTGAATTCAGGAAAGTTGCTGGATATAAAATCAACATTCAGAAATCAGTTGCATTTCTATACACCAATAATGAAGTAGCAGAAAGAGAAATTAAGGAATTGATCCCATTTTCAATTGCACCAAACACCGTAAGATACCTAGACATAAAAGTAACCAAAGAGGTAAAAGATCTGTGTGCTGAAAATTATAGAAAGCTTATGAAAAAAATTGAAGAAAACACAAAGAAATGGAAAAACATTCCATACTTATGGAATGGAAGAGCAAATATTATTAAAATGTCTATACTACCCGGGGTGCCTGGAGGGCTCATTTGGTTAAGTGCCGGATTTCGGCTCAGGTCATGATTTTGTGGTTCATGGGTTTGAGCCCCGAGTTGGGCTTTGTGCTGACAGCTCAGAGCCTGGAGCCTATGTCTCCCTCTCTCTCTGCCCCTCCCTTGCTCACACTTTGTCTTTCTCTTTCTCTCTCTCTCAAAAATAATCATTTTTTTTTTTTAATTTATTTCTAGGAGAGAGAGAGAGACAGTGTGAGCAGGGGAGGGTCAGAGAGAGAGGGAGTCACAGACTGAAACAGGCTGCAGGCTCTGAGCTGGCAGTCAGCACAGAGCCCGACGCAGGGCTCGAACCTATGAACCGCGAGATCATGACCTAAGCGAAAGTCGGACGCTCAACCGACTAAGCCACCCAGGCGCCCCTCAAAAATAAACATTTTTTAAAAACTACCCAAAGCAATCTATGCATTCAATACAATCCCTATCAAAATATACCAGCATTCCTCACAGAGCTAGAATAAACAATCTTAAAATTTGTGTGGAACCAAAAAAGACCTTGAATAGCCAAAGTAATATTGAAAAAGAAAACCAAACCTGGAGGCATCACAGTTCCGGACTTCAAGCTGTATTACAAAGCTGTAATCATCAAGACAGTTGATGGTACTGACACAAAAACAGACACACAGGTAACTGGAACAGAATAGAAAACCCAGAAATGGACCGACCCGCAAATGTATGGCTAACTAATCTTCAACAAAGTAGGAAAGAGTATCCAATGAAAAAAAGTCTCTTCACCAGATGGTGCTAGACAGTGACATACAGAAGAATGAACCTGGACTACTTTTTTACACCATACAAAAAAATAAATTCCAGTGGATGAGAGACCTGAGTGTAAGACAAGAAACCATCAAAATCCTAGAGGAGAAAACAGGCAACAACCTATTTGAACTCAGCTGCAGCAACTTCTTACTAGACATGTATCCAGTGGCAAGGGAAATAAAAACGAAAATGAACTTTTGGGACCTCCTCAAGATAAAAAGCTTCTGCACAGCCAAGGAAATAATCAACAAAACTAAACGGCAACCAACGGAATTGGAAATTTGCAAATGACGTATCAGATAAAGGGTTAGTATCCAGAATCTAAGAACTTACCAAACTCAATACCCAAAAAACAAACAACCCAGTGAAGAAATGGGCAAGAGACAAGAACACTTCTGCAAAGAATACATCCAGGTGGCTGACAGACACATGGAAAGATGCTCATCAGATCATCATAGAAATACAAATCAAAACCACAATGATATACAAACTTACACTTGACAGGATGGCTAAAATTAACAACTCGGGAAACAGCAGATGTTGGTGAGGATGTCGAGAAAGGGAAACCCTTTTGCACTGTTGGTGGGAATGCAAATTGATGCAGCTACTCTGGAGAACACTATGGAGTTTCCCCCAAAAATATAAAATAGAGCTACCTTATGACCGAGCAATTGTTCTTCTAGGTATTTATCTGAAGGACATAAAAATGCTGATTCAAAGGGGCACATGCATCCCTTTGTTTATAGCAGCACTATCAACGATAGCCAAATTATGGAAAGAGCCAAAATGTCCATTGATTGATGAATAGATAAAGAAGATGTGATGTGGGGTGTGTGTGTGTGTGTACACGCATATGTAACTTTTCAGTTAAAGTGCTCTGTTTTGTTTTTATTTTTACATACATACCTACATACATACAAAGGAATACCACTTGGTGATCAAAAAGAATGAAATCTTCCCATTTGCAGCAAGGTAAGTGGAAGTAGAATGTATTCTGCTGAGTGAAATGTCAGAGAAAGGCAAATATATGATTTCACTCATATGTGAAATTTAAGAAATAAGATAGAGGAAGGGAAGGAAAAAGCAGATAAAAAGAGAGGGAAGCAAACCATAAGAGACTCTTAAAGACAGAGAACAAACAGGGTTGCTGGAGGGGAAGTAGGAGGGGGATGGGTTAAATGGGTGATGGGCATTAAGGAGGGCACTTGTTGGGATAAGCACTGGGTGTTATATGTAAGTGATGAATTGCTGGATTCTACTCCTGAAACCAGTATTACATTGTATGCTAACTAACTTGAATTTAAATAAGTAAATTTTTTAAAAATTTAAAAAATGACACCCTGCAAAAAAGAAAGAAAAGAGACCTTGGGTTGTCTTTAGTACCTGTGCAGAAAAATTGGTTCAGAATCTAAAGTCTGTATAACGTTAAAAATAAAAACAACACACAGCACTTTAACTGAAAAATGTTGGTGGCATTATGGCAGAAGTTATCAGATAATCTTCCCTCATTATTAAAAGAAATTTTCATGACTTCTGTCTGGTAGCCCAACAGTATGTTAACATTAAAGTGTATTTTCTCACCTGCATTTAATAGAATATATTGATCTGTAGATACCAGAGAGAAGATGAGTGAATATAGCCCATAACATCAAGCTTGTGGCCCTAATTTGTCTTCGCAGCCACAGGAGACTAATACAGATTTCTTAGTGTCTTGACCTTTTGCTCTTCCATATGAATTTGGGAATCAGCTTGTTAAATCCCTAACTGATGTTTGTTAGGACTTTTTTTCATTGGATGGACTTGAATCTATAGGTTTAGTTTAGAAGAGATTAACATTGGTATGGTATCTATTCTTCCTATTCCAAGGAGCCTCCATTTATTTAGCCTCTTTTTAAAGACTTGCACATCTTTTTTATAGTCAAGAACAGTTACATTAAAAAAGGAGGTTAAATTTTAGAAGGAGGACTTCTATTAAAGAAGGTGCTCATGTGACCACTTCATTAAATGGCAGTTTAGATAAAGATGAAGAAGAAAGAATGCTTATCTGCATAAAAAGTGATATATAGATCACTACTTTATAAAGAATCAATTAAAAATAGTTCTAACTCTTCATGATAAAATGGAAAGAAATAAGGAAATCTATATTATATCAGGATAGGAAAGCCCACTTTCAAAACTTATACCAGAGTTAAAAATTGTCACAGAATTGATTAATTTGCCTATTTCAAATATTTTGTATTTCTAATAATAAAACCCTTCTTTAGCAGAATTAAAAGATGAACACCAAACTATGAAACAGTTGCAGCATGTTTAAGAGAGTTAATTTCTGGACTGTAAAATGTTCATGAAATTTGGAAAAGATTGTGCTGTGTGTTATCGAGATATGTTAAAAACAGACCTCGGTGTGCTTGCTCCCTCCTCCACTGCTGCCTCGTCCTGCTGCTGCTGCTCCTGATGCTTGTGTGCTGGTTTGCTGAGCCACCAGGTCTCTCTTTTGTGAAGCCGTAGCAAAGGAGACTCAGGAGCTTACTGTGGCTGAGGAAAAGCCCAAGGAAGGAGTTAAGACTGAGGACAGTGATCATATTAATTGGAAGGTGACAGGGCAGGATGGTTCGGTGGTACAGTTTAAGATTAAGAAGCATGCACTTAGTAAACTAATGAAAGCCTATTGTGAATGGCAAGGTTTGTCAATAAGACAGATTAGATTCTGATTTGATGGGCAGCCAGTCAATAAAGCAGACAAGCCTGCACAGTTGGAAATGGAGGATGAAGATACAGTTGATGTGTTCCAGCAGCAGACAGCAAGTGTCTACTAAAAAGAAAACCTGCTACCTTACTCCAGAACTCTGTTCTTCCAGACCAAGACATTCTCAATTAGAAAACCGCAATTTGGTTCTATCACATTCTGACTACTACAGTATAATTTTCTCTTTTCTTTCATTTTGTATGTGTATGTGCATGAGCATATTGTACTTTTTTAATTAAATGGCCAATGGTTTGTTTTGATTGACATCAAATGAAGATGGGATGGGGAGGGGCGCCTGGGTGGCTCAGTCAGTTAAGCTTCTGACTTCGGCTCAGGTCATGATCTCATGGTTGGTGGATTCGGGCCCCATGTTGGGCTCTGTGCTGACAGCTAGCTCAGAGCCTGGAGCCTGTCTTCGGATTCTGTGTCTCCCTCTCTCTCTGACCCTCCCCTGCTCATGCTGTTTTTATCTTTCTCTCAGAAATAGATAAAATAGTAAAAAAATTAAAAAAAAAAAAAAGATGGGATGGGGAAAAATGCTGGTTCTTTGAAAATACCCTTTCTCCACTAGTGGCATGTTCATTCAGCTCTTTTTTTTTTTTTTTTTTTAATTTTTTAACATTTTATTTATTTCTGAGAGAGGGAGAGAGAGAGAGACAGCATGAGCAGGGGAGGGTCAGAGAGAGAGGGAGACACAGAATCTGAAACAGGCTCCAGGCTCCAAGCTAGCTGTCAGCACAGATCCCAACACGGGGCTCGAACCCACGAACCATGAGATCATGACCTGAGCTGAAGTCAGTCACCCAACTGACTGAGCCACCAGGTGCCCCCATTCAGCTCTTATCTTTATGTTCCAGTAAGTTATTTTGCTCTCAATGTTTAACAGAAAAACAACATAAAAATCCTTGCATACCTTGTTCAATTGGAGAATTTTCATGTTTTTTCTTTTATCATTGTAAAACTAAGGAGAATTTTATAACTATATGAAGCTGTTACATGTAGGGCAATCTGTCTTTACATAAGGATAAATTACTCTAAATGAATCCTTGATATTTTTCCCTTCAAGTCAAGCTTTTTTCTTTTTTTTCTAATGTTCGTTTTTGAGAGAGATGGTGTGAGTGGGGGAGGAGCAGAGAGAGAGGGAGACACACAATCTGAAGCAGGCTCCAGGCTCTGAGCTGTCAGCACAGAGCCCAATGTGGGGCTCGAATTCACAATCTCTGTCATGACCTGAGCTGAAGTTGGATGCTTAATGGACTGAGCTACCCAGGCACCCTGTGTTTTGGTTTTTAAATAAACTTCTGTAGGTATGGTGCCTGGGTGGCTCAGTTGGTTGAGCATCTGACTCTTGATTTTGGCTCGGGTCACAATCTCATGGTTCGTGAGATGAGCCCTCCGTTGGGCTCAGAGCTGACGGTGCGGAGCCTGCTTGGGATTCTCTCTCTCCCTCTCTGTGTACCCCTCCCTTGCTGCTACACATGCACTCTCTCAAAATAAATAGACATTAACAAATTGTTTTTTTTTTAAAAAAAGACCCTCAATATTATTGATGGAATGTAAATTAAATGTCATTTTGACTGTTAAGTATCAAAATTTTAAGCATACATATGTGGGGCACCTGGCTGGCTCAGCCAGTAGAACATGCAGCTCTTGATCTTGAGGTTGTGAGTTTAAGCCCCACGTTGGGTATGCAGCCTACATGAAATGAAAGGACAGGAAAGGGAAATGCAAATGCAAATGGAAGTGGAATGACCCATACATATATACGTTGAAGCCAGCATTTCCAGTTCTTAGAATTCTAAGGAAGTGGTTACATGTGTAGGATCTACTGCAGTGTTTAATGAAAAATTTGAACCAACCTAAATATTCATTATTTGGAGATTAATTTTGGATTTTAGGTATATTACTAGAGTTGAGTGTTATGAATCTCACAGGAAGTGTTAGGATTCTAATAATTACTAAATCAGTAGGTTGACTTTTTCACATGAACACAAAGTATATTTCAGGTTTGTTTCTGTCACTTCACTATCTTTGAGAAAATTTTTAAGGAGTGAACATTTTTATAAAAGCAGCTGTCATATATTGGTAATAATAGCTAATATTTTGACCACATATAGTGGCAGGTCCTGGACCAAACATTTCACATGTGTTACCTGACCTAATTCTTGTTACAGACCAGTGTGAGAGACAGTAATTAATCCCCAAGAAAACTTGAGTATTAAAAAGCTAGTTAGTAGGGGCATATAGTGGAGAAAATCAGAATATCTAGGTTCTGATTTCATCTATATTATTCACCTAATATCTCTGTAGATACTTTACATATCTTACAAATTTAAAATAATAACACTTCAGATATTATTGGAAGACTACATGAAAAATGAATTTGAAGCACAGAAATTATGGGAAGAAATTAAAACATTATTTGAATTTTGATTGGAACCTTAAAAGTGATAAAATTGGATTAAAGATATTATGACCTATTCAAAGTCAGTAAGAATTTGTTCTTAAGAAGTAGAATACAGGGGCACCTGGGTGGCTCAGTCGGTTAAGCGTCTGACTTCGGCTCAGGTCATGATCTAATGGTTTGTGGGTTCAGGCCCCGCATTGGGTTCTGTGCTGACCGCTCAGAGCCTGGAGCCTGCTTCGGTTTCTGTGTCTCCCTCTCTCTCTGCCTATCCCCCACTCATGCTCTGTTTCTCTGTCTCAATAATAAATAAACATTTAAAAAAATTAAAGAAATACAGTACAAACCCCTGAATGATCTTTTTTAAGTTTTTATTTTAATTTTTATTAGTTAAGGTACAGTGTTATGTTAGTTTCAGATATACAATATAGTGATTCACCCAATTTTATATAACACCACTGCTTGTCATGAGAAGTGTATTCCTTGATCCCCATCACTTATTTAACCCATCTACCCACCTACCTCTCCTCTGGTAACCAGAAGTTTGCTCTCTGTAGTGAAGAGTCTGTTTCTTGGTTTGTCTTTTATTTTCTTTGTTCATTTGTTTTGTTTCCTAAATTCCACATATGAATGAAATCATACGGTATTTGACTTTTTCTGACTGACTTATTTTGCTTAGCATTATACTTTCAAGCTCTATCCATGTTTTCGTAAATGGCCAAATGATAGTGGTTTAGGTTCTGTATTTTCAGTCTCTACCCTACTAAAAAAGGATAAATTAGAAAAATCTTTAAAAGTTACATTTTGGGAAAACAAGATTTGAATGAATGAAAGGAAATGCATTGTTGATATTTTATTTCAGATAAACACAAGGAAATCCTTAAATTGTGTTACCTAGCAACATTACTCTTTGCTTCCCAACCCAAAACTATTTTGAAGTAAAATAGCTACTAAAAGGTACATTTACGTTACCAAAACTTTGTCGTCATTGTCTAAATCCTTTTAAATCAGAAGGTTCAAAGTTTCCAATCACCTTTCTTTTTCCATCAATTGTCTTTAGAACCTTCTAAAAGCAAGTTGGTTGTTAAACGTGCCTTTTAAGATGTCTTTAAGGAAAAAATTATGCATCTGTTCTGTAACTTATTTCTTTAAAACTCTTTTGAAAATGATGGATCTGAGCAACCATTTGAATAAGTATATAAGTGCTTTGCTACATTTCAGGCAAACTGCAAAGGAGTAAAGGAGTTGATAGAACAGTAAAAGAATCATGTCAAATATGAAATGAATATAAAAGAGAAAGATGGTAGGACTTTGTAATAGTATTTACTTTTCCTTATTCACTGTAATAGGTTTTTCAAATATGCTTACGTTTAATTTTCAGTGTCCAAAAGTATGCGTTTTTAGTGTAGGGAGATGAGAAATTATTTTCTATTTTAGAGGTATAGAACTGGATGCAGAATAATAATAGCAATGTATTTTGATTACTCTCCTATGTCTCAAAAGAAAAATAGAGACATTATTTTATAAAATAGTGGTATACTAATAGCTAGCTAGTGTTTGACCCTGTAAAAGTGAAGGTAATGCATTTGTTCATAGTAAACATCAATAACTGGTGATGGAACAGTTCGTGTTTCTAGACTTAGAAAATAAGTACTTTCTTCCAGTACTTTTTAAATTCTCTTTTTCATATTAATTCTTTTTCAGATTAGCCTAGAAGTTCTAGCTCTCAGATTCAGTTAGCCAGATAAGACTGGGCAGATCTCATGAATTGGGATGTCAAGGGGTTGAATATAAGACTAGCTGAAAGGAATAGATTATCAAAATAAGGAAGAAACATAAATCTGCATCCTTTAGCATTCTCTCCCAACGCCCCCTTACCCTCTTCCCCTGGCACCCATTAATCTACTTTCTATTTCTATGAATTTGACTATTCTAGATGTTTCATATAAATGGGATCATAAGATATGTGGTCTTTTGTGTTTGGCTTCTTTCACTTAAAATGATGTTTTCAAGGTTCATCCATGTTTTAGTATTTAATAGTACTTCATTCCTTTTTATGGTTGAATAATAATTCAGTTGTAGGGATATACAGCATTTTGTTTATCCTTTCGTCAATTGGTGGACATTTGGGTTGTTTCCACTTTTTGACTATTAGGAATAATTATGCATAAACATTTGTGCAGTTGTGTTTTTAATTTTGGGTATATACTTTTCCAGGAGTTGAATTGCTGGGTCATACAGTCGTACAGTAATTCTGTATTTAACTTTTTGAGGAACTGCCAGATCATTTCCAAAGCAGCTATATCATTCATATTCTACCACCAGTGTACAAAGACATTTCCCTGCATACTTGTCAATCCTTGTTATTATCCGTCTTTCTGAGTATAGCTATTGTGGATGGGAAGTGGTGTCTCATCGTGGTTGTTTTTGTTTTTCCCTTGGAGGCTGATCCAGTTTATTATTTATGGGAAACAGGCCAACAAGCATTTCTTTAATCTTATCTTCATACCAGTCTGCTCTTTCAGTGTTAAGGTGGGGACGGGCAGATGGCGACTGCAAGGCCTCTCTCAAAGTAGGCAAGTCATGTTAGAGGCAGACTTTACTAATTCAAAAATTTGTCTCACATTAGCAGTCAGGATTTGGGTATCACCTTGAATTATTGTTGT